AGTAACAAACATGCACACCAGTCTATAATAAGCACTGAAGTAACAAACATGCACACTGGTCTATAATAAACACCGAAGTAACAAACATGCACACCAGTCTATAATAAGCACTGAAGTAACAAACATGCACACCAGTCTATAATAAACACCGAAGTAACAAACATGCACACCGGTATATAATAAGCACTGAAGTAACAAACATGCACATTGGGCCTATAATAAGCACTGAAGTAAAAATCCAAAACATGCATAATAATCTTTCAACTTACATTTTTGAACAGTTCTAAAGTAAAGTTAAATTAAACAAACAGTAATAAGACTGACATATTAGAGTTCTTTATTAGGGCTTCTTTTTCATGAAGTCAAATAATTACTCATTAGGTATTACAAGTCTAGCAATGATGATTTTTCACACAATATTCATATCACTGCTTTCAGATTTTTAAAACTGAATTCTATCAATGGATGGTTCCCTGATAAGGTCTTATGTTTCCCTAACTCTTAGCAATGCTTAATGAGTGTTTGAACTTTTCATTGTTACACACACATATATTGCAGATTTTATCCTTAAACACCTAAGTTAGCGAGGTTTAATGCTATTTCTGACATTTGTTTATCAAATTGTTCTTCACTTAATCTATTACCAGTTTTGAAACAGAGGGTGTAAGGATATTAAAAAACAACAACAAAAGATATAAGATGTCAACATTTGTAGATCCAGTCAAGGTTATGGGTTATTTTATTGAATGTAAGGTGTATTGGATAGTTGGAAAAAGAAAAAAGTTCTGACTTAAATTTTATAGAGAAGTAACAGAAAGATGTTTGATAAAAAAAACAAAAACAAATTAAAATGTTATGTCTAACCAAAACATGCAAGTATTATTATTACAATATCTTACTCTAGAAGATAAGCTATAAAACCTTCATAATGAAGGCTTAATATAATTTTTAATACATATTGTACTTCCAATATCAGCACTGTTTTGTTTAGTAAATGGAAGTTCAAGTACAAATTAAATATCAGTCATAATGTTTCTGAAATAATATGTGTTAATGTACGAAAATAATTATAACTATAGTTATTTATTGTGGGCAGTCCGACTTAGTAACATATTTTAGACAAGCAAAAATACCCGTCCCCAGTGACAGGAAAAGTTTAAGTTAATCTATCAATTTAAATTATTTCATGGACTTTAAAAATGTTAATTGTGTTGCACTCTTGGTTTCACTCAGAGCCAAAGCTCTCAGCTACTTATACTGCCTGCCATGAAAAATAATTGTTCAGCATTTCAGTCATAGTAAGAGCCGCTCAACAATAACATTCGGTAAAATTACATCTTTATTCTTTAAGTTACGTCATATTTTGAAATGTGAATGATAATGTGATTAATTCCTAACAATTTAGTGTAGAATATCCTGCTTGCGAAATAAAATTTGGTATCAACATTACTCATGCCTGTTCTCCCGCCATTTCAAAGGTGAATGTTGAGTTTTGCCTGCTTGCGCAGCTTTTCAAACGGGAGACAAACAAACGCTCGGATACACACCACGGTTTACAATATATAGATTTTACAGAGGTAAGCTTAACAAAATCACTAAGAACAATGATTTACTTCCTGAAATTGCATAAGGCATGATTTGGATATTAATTTCGATAATATATTGAACATGATTTTAGTACACCATAATTAATATAATATACACATTTTTTGTGTGGTTCCTCACAACTTAGGAAATGACCAAACTTTAAGTTCATATTTCATTTTATAAAGGTTCCTGAAAATTAAAGGTAGAATTAACCTAAGCTTAAATTACCTACGTTAAGCTTAGTTTTAAATTATAGTCTACACTCTAGGTAAACTTAACATATGTCTAACACTTTAAATTATCATTCTGGCCCATATATGTAAATCTCCTACATGTTGTTATAAACTATATTTTTAATGTTGTAATTTGTTTTCTAGAGAGAGCTACGATTAGCAGTGATGACGTTAAGATAGGAAAGTTTAAAAAGATATGCCTAGAACATCCAGAAAGTTTTACAAGATTTGATGTTAAATTTTCTAGTAAATTCGATGGTACATTATAAATACGAAGTAGGTGCGAGGATTGTAGAGTTGTTTCAAGATAGTAAAGTCGCTTCTAACCGATAGAGCGAATCAGTCTTTTTTTGTTTGTTTGTTTATTTCAGCCGTGGAGTGGTACGAGTAAGTTTTTCTTTCATTAGTGTGAGTGCAGTTAGCGTCATTTGTAAATGTGGCCTTCAACTGTTTATAGTGATGCCAGTTTGTAAACGTGTTAAAGACGAAATAAGCTAATTTGTTATCGTTTACATGGACTGTACTTTTGAATTATTTTTTACCAGATAATCTAAAAGAACCCAACAACGAAAGAATAACCTCACATTAAATATTTACATGAAGAACAGGTTGCAAACTGAAAATTTAAATTAAATACGTATCTTTATGGCACAAATGATATAAATTGTATTATTTAATATTTATATATTATTCTTTGGTTGCATAGATTATTTCTTGTACCATGAAGAAAATGACCATAACTTCCTTTATTTTTTTTCAAATAACGAATAAACTTTACTTGAACTGGTTGGCGCAATAGAAAAAAAAATCTTCTTCTGGAGGTATGAGGGTTTTCTTCATAGCATAATGTATCTAAGGTATACATTATTGACCTATCTTAACTCTTTGGAACGCTAACTGAACTATTTTGTGGGGCATATTTCTAATTATTTTACGACAACTTCAGCAAAATAAAATCTTTATGTTTTACTGGAGTATTTACTGTACAATAATCAAGGTAATATATCTGTGATACAAAGCCTAATTCATTATTGATTGCTCTTTTAATCTGCTAGTTGTATGAGAAGTATATAAGCATTGGTGAAACATTGTTCATAACTACGAAGGTAACAATTTTATTATCTTTGATATATAGATATAATGCACGTATACGTATAGCAAGAGCAAACACTGAAAATTTTACTAAGCCTATATCGGAGCAACACGAACAGTGCTTTTTACAACGTTCATTGTCTCAGATTAACAAAGAAAATGACAATAGTCTATATTTATCTTAGTACATATGGGCCTAATGACTCTAAACGCTTAAATGATCGTACAGACAACTAACCGTTATTGATATCCGATTCCCACAAGCTTACCGAAAGTACTTATTACTTTAGTATATTCCACCGATTCCATACCAACGTAACACAAGTTTTTTTTGTAATCAGTAGGTTCCAGATAATTGTCAACAGAGAGTACACATAATACGTTTTCCTAATATAGCATTAAAACTCTAACTTTTGCAAACGGCATTCCTATTATTAACTGTTACTTTCATAAATTAAACA